AGTCTGAGAGCTTGGAAACTTGAGGCTTGATGGTGAAGAGTTACATGGTTACATAGATGTAGAAGGGCATTTAAGAAGCAAAGAAGAGGAAGGAAGTGGTACCCTTAAGGCAAAGGCTCTCATTGGTAGTAATGCAGACAGGGTCAGATGGGGACTGAAGGAGCTATGACAAGCCAAATGCAGCATGTGGCTTTGAGTGGGTTGTGCTTGGGGAACCATGCTACACAGGGCAGGGTTGGGACTTAGTGGGGCACCTACATTTGATGACAATGGAGGTCACACACTTTATTTGGCTTGTTATAGCTCTGCTGACTGAGCCATCTCCCCAGCTCTTTTACCTATTTGATTCATTTCCCCCCATAATCCTTTTGGGAATATATTTGGTTAAAATTGCAAGTCCAGTTTTATAGGAAATAGTGTTCTGAATCAGGCAATCTCACCCCACAACTTCTTTTGAGATCAACTGCTGTCAATCTGTTTGAAGGCTTCACAAATAAATCCACTAAGACAACCTGAAGTTAGACGTAAAAAGTTAATGCAATTGCTTCAACTGTCAAGACACAAACAGTTTAAAGGATGGCAAGCTTGCCTAGTGGTGGTGGCAAACACCTTTAATCCCAGCACTCAGAAGGCAGAGGCGAGCAGATCTCTGAGTTCAAGGCCAGCCTGGTCTACAGAGAAAGTTCCAAGATAGCAATCTAACTGTCTAGTAGCTGATGAGTAAAATATGTGCAAAGATGAAGTACTAGTACATGCTTCAGTGTGGGTGAGCCTTGAAAACATGACAGTAAGGTTAGTTAGAAAAGACTACATATGATTCTACTTAAGTGAAATGCTCATAATGAGCTGATAATGCAGAGGCAGAAAGTAGATTAGTGGTTGCCTAGGAGAAAAAGAGGCATTTCTGCTAGTGGGAAAGGTTTCTTTGGGAGCAATAAGGTTGAGTGTGGAGATGGTTGTACCATGCAGACATTACTGGAGTCACACTTTAAATGGGTGAACTATATGGTATGTAAATTGTATCTCAATGGGGCTCTTTTAAAGAAAATGTTTAAAAGACCATAGTAACACCAAGTAAAAAGAGAACCGGAGTAGCTATGTAACAGGAAAACTGGACTTCAGAGCAGTGAGTACATGACCAAGAGATTCAGTTCCTGAGCTGGGAATATAGCTCAGAGCTAAAGCATTGGCCTAGCATGTATGAAGCTCTGTGCTCAATTATGAGCGATGTGAGAGGAGAGAAAAATACATTCATAGTTGACAATTCAACATAATTGGTAGGGTAGAAAAGAGAAAAATTATTAAATATAAAAAGATAGGAATATAATCCAACAGCATCAATTGCACATGGAACATTTTTACAAATGTAGACCACACTCTAGACTATAAAGACTGAACTTAGTACAGTGCTGAGGACCAATCTAGTGACTTGGCCCTGCTAGGCAGGTGCTATACCATTGAACCACATCCCCAGTCTTAGTAAATTAAAGCTTTCAAATAATGTATTTTTTTTTTCTGTCCATGATGGCAGTGAATCAGAAATTATTAACAAGAATGCTATCTGGAAACCTCCAAATTTTTGGAAGCTAAAGATCAGATTCCTGTGGTCAAAGAAGAGATCCCAAGAGAAACTGAAAACATTTTATATTAACAAGATTCTACAATGTTAAATTGTATGTGTCTTAGTCACTGTTCTATTGCTGTGACAAGACACTATGACCAAGGCAATTCTCATAAAGAAAGCATTTAATCGGGGGTTCAGAGGTCAGTCCATTATCATGGAGGGAGCATGGCAACACACAGGCAGACATGGTGCTGGAGAAGTAGCTGAGGGTTCTACATCATGATCCATAGCCAGGGGTGTGGGGGTGCTTAGCATAAACTTTTGAAACTCAGAGCCCACCCTCAGTGATACATTTCTTCCAATAAGGCCCCACCTCTTAATCTTTCAAATACTGCCATTTACTGGTGACCAAGCATTCAAACCTATGAACCTATGGGAGCCATTCTCATTCAGATCACCACAGTAGGTTACAGCTGAAATAGCACTAACAGGTGTATCACTCTACATTTCTAAATGACACACTACCAGTACACACTAAAAGTAGCTTGAGGGTTAACTTTTGTTTTTTTGAGACACGGTTTCTTGAAAACCTGTATTGTTTTGGAGCCTGACCTGGAACTCTCTCTGTAGACCAGGCTGGCCTCAAACTCACAGAGATCTGCCTGCCTCTGCCTCCTGAGTGCTGGGATCAAAGGTATGTGCCACCAACGCCTGGCTTCAATATCCTTTTTAAATAAGAAACATGAGCAAAAATTCTAGCCAACAGGTACCAGAAGAACATGGTTTCTGAGCAGACTTTAAGGCCCAAAGAAACAATGCTGCTGACATTCTGGCTATGTCTTTCTTCATTGGGCTGCTCACTGAAGCCACTGAACATGAGAAATAAATTTAATAAATCCTTGGCTCTTCCTAGAAGAAACAATGCCTCCAGAGGCCACTGATGCATTACCTGTAATGAAAACCTTCAGGAACTAAAGCTTATTTCTCTAGTGAAATTGTGGTTGAGAACCTCTAGAAAACAAGTGGCTCAGGTATGTTATCCTAGCTATTGGGGACAAAGGTAGGAAAGCTACAAGGTCAAGTCCTGCTTGGGCTGCAGATTTCAAAGCTAGTCTCAAAATGCAAAAGGAACTTGGCATAGTAGCTCACACTTAATTCTAGCATGCAAGAGGCTGATGCAAGCTGGGGGATGATTCGAGTTTGAGTCCAGCTAGCCTGGGCTACAGTGACACATGTCTCTAAACAAGAAAAATGTGTGGTGCTTGAGACAAGGTGTTGCTATATAACTTCAGCTGACCTTGTCTTCAATATGTAGGCTACGTTGATTTTGAAAAACCTACAGCAATCCTCTTGCTTCTGCCTCCCAAGTGAAGATCATAGGAGCCACTGACCTTTAAAGTCATGCTGGTTTTTAGCGTGTATGTGGGGCTGTTGAGATGGCTCAGTGGGTGAGGGCATTTGCCACAAAAGTTCTACATAAAGGTAGAAGAAAAAAACTGACTCCACAATTGTCCTCTGACCTCCACATAGACACTCACACAAAAATCCCAAAGTGGATGTGACTAAACATGGCATAACTATGATACTCTAGAACTATCAGACAAGTTGTTGGACATGTGTACTATATGTATATCACAATCACCAAGGAAGTTTGTTAAAATCAGGAATTACCTGCCTGACCTGGAGTCATCAGTGTCCTGCCTGGATCTGCAGAATACAGAATACCTTTCTGTAAAGGTATTCAAATGTTTAAACTGCTGAATTCACTTGATACTCTTTAACTTAATACAGAGCAATGTATTTTAGCATTTTAAAGTTTTTGTGTCTATTTTTTCCTCACCACAGAGACTGAGAGAAATTAACAGTATGATACGGACAGGAGAGACTCCAACTAAAAAGAGAGGGATTCTCCTAGACGATGGAAGCGAGTCACCTGCAAAAAGAATTTGCCCAGAAAATCATTCTGCCCTGTTACGTCGTCTCCAAGATGTAGCTAATGACCGAGGTTCACACTGAGGTTAGTCTCCGGTATGGAAACTGTCTTCACATGAACTGCTTAGCAGTTAATGCATGCAGGATTATGGGAGCTTGCTCCTTAATCCAGCAGTTATTAGAGCCTGGCAGAAAAGGGAAGCTCTCCGACTGGGTATAGCGGTATATACCTGTTATCCCAGCACACAAGAGGTAGAGGGAAAGAGGACCAGGAGTTTAAGGCTATCCTGGGCTACATAGCATGTCTAAGGCCAACTTGGGCTATATGTAACCCTGACTCAAAAACAAAAACAACAACAAAAAAGGACATTAGAGAAATTAGACTTGCTCCAGTATTCTTAGGATGTTTTTATTCATCCCTATCGCCTCTCCCCTTACTATTCAGTGCTTACGTACCTTCAACACTGCCCATAATCCAAACCTGGACTTTTAACTTTGGTAAACTTTTACAAGCACTGCAGAAAAATCTTTAGAGGCCTGTGTAGGTAAGCCCCAGCAGAGGAATTCTATTTGAAGTTCATTCTTACTTTCATATGGTTTGGCCCAACCATGTGTTGTAGGACAGAACATCTGAGACATTCACATTCATGAAACAGAACAGAAGGGATGGCCCAGACCTGGACATCTCCAGGCACTCTTGCCTAAGGCTCCTGTTCCCTTTGAGTACTACGATCCCTTCCCCAGTAGATATGGTTCATTGTGAAAGGTGTGCAGTGTCTGAATGAACCTGTGTAATTGGTGGCACTTTAGGGCTGTAAAATGCATGGCACTGTAACCCAGATTTTGCTGTATATTTATGATGGCACTTTCTATAATGTGGACTTCAGTAAGTACAAGACTTCTAGGCTATACAGCCAATGTTTTCTTTAATGCTTTTCTTAAAGGACTTAATGTACACATTCTGGGCATGTGTAAAACACTCCAGTGTGTGGTAGTGGTGTTACATAGGTATCATCTGGCTAAGTAAAGATTTTTAAATCAAGCTGAATTGAGAATCTGAAAAATTATGACCAGTTCCTTTTGGAGGTAGCTATCCAAAGGAAAGTATCTTTGAGGTAATTCCTGGAAGTTAAAAGAATAGGTTGGAGAATTTAGGTTTTTATTAGTAGGTAGTACCATTTATACAAATTAGAAAATTATTTAACAGCTATTGATTATCTACACATATCTTTATTAATCATTATTGTTCCAGTTGTTTTTAAGTTGGATTAATAATCCTAAGGAGAAAATTCAATTGTAAATTGGATCATATAAGCAAAGTTACTAGGTAACTTCATACTGCTCTAAAGCATAGACCTTGCACTGTCTACTAGAGTAGTGCTGTGCAGAGTACTTAGAAAACCTCTTGGTACCACTACTGTAATTTTATATGAAAATATGTGTATTTTCCAATAAAGCACTTATAAATTAGTCTCTGTTTAGTTATATTGAAAAAGAACATTAGTTTCCTGCATAAATGACAATCAATCATTTATTGGTTTATTTCATCTCTACTAACACAACAGTCATTCACCATTTAAATACCTGACTTCATTAGAAACCGTTTGAACACTTTTTTCTTCCTCCTGCCATAAAAATACAGTAATTTGCTTAAAAAAACAAAAACAACTATGAACAAGCATCCTGGTTCTGCCTACTTTCCTAATGCTCTGAGATAGACGTTTACAGCAAGTCAGCAGGCTGAAGCCGGAAAGCCAGTCTTCTACTTGAAAGTGCTGCACTCTGGAATCTCTTCTCTACACCCTTCTTCATGACCTACCTACCGTATGTACAGCTGAGACCACCAACTTCCAACTACTACACAGTGCTCATTTCTCTCTGCTCTGTTAAAGTAAACACAACTTACCTCTAACATATTCAGAAAAAATACTTAAGCCTCAAGGTCCCCAATAATTTGGAGTACTGAACTAGATCCACCCTGACACTTCTGACAGAAGTAACGCATTACTTAATGAGAGGTCTCCACAACCTGCTGTTAGAACCTACGCATACACAACACTGATAGCCAGTCACTGTTCACGAGGTTTACTCTTCAGGCAGTCCTTTGCCATTAGTCAGCTTTAACTAGGCCAGAGTCCAGCAGGAAAGTGCGTGGTGCACCAGATCCACCATCTCTTAGGTTGCTACTGTTTTCTCTTCTTTACTGAAAGGTTGTACTGAGCCAGGCTTTACCCATGACAGGCCAGCAACATGAACACTTTTATTGTGCTGTTCGTCAGGCTTCTTCTAGGCACAATCAAAAACAGACATTAAAAAAAAAAAAAAAAAAAAAAAAGAATGAAAGAAACCATACTGACTAGTTTCCCCAAGAGTTAGTTATATGTAACCAATGGCCACAAATGCAGACAGTTAAGAAACCAGGCTAGCCATTTCAAAAATGGTTATGTACTTACTTTCTGAGTCAGCATCTTCTCTCTGGCCTCATCATGTACAGAAGGGTTCCATGGAGAAAAGCTTGAAGGGCAGAAAATATTAAATATAGTTCATGGCTTTCAAAACATGTAAAGCATCCAATAAAACCATTCTAATAAAACTTAAGAACAATTTTTTTTTTTTTTAAGGTTTCTCTGTGTAGCCCTGGATGACCTAGAACTTGCTCTGTAGACCAGGCCTGCCTCTGCCTCCCATGTGCAGGGATTTAAGGTGTGCGCCACTGCTCCCTGGCTAAAGAACAATCCTTAATCAGTTGTTGGCTTATACTGATATCATCTAAAACAGACATCCCTGTAAACCTCATACCACCCCTGAAATATTATTTAAAGATGAAGAAAACAAGGCAGAGTAAAACCAAGTAATTACTTTGGATTACCAAAGCTAAAAAGTCCAGAAGCCAAGCCGTCCATCAGCTGAGCCCAAAAGCAACACCGCAGTATGCTTCCCAACGATGCCAATCTCCACAAGAGCTATAGGGCCTCTCAGTTCTATTCTAACACGCTCTCTCCACCAAATCTAAATGTTAATGAGTTAAGCTAGATCTAGTTCAGTACTCCAAATTATTGTGTACCTTGAGACATATTTTTCTGAATATGTTAGAGGTAAGTTGTGTTTACTTAAACTAACAGCAGAGAGAAATGAGCACTATGTAATAGTCTCAAGTTTGTGGTTTCAGCTGTAAGGCTCACACTGCCTTCTGAAAAGTCCTCACATAGAAAAACTTGACAGAAGTTGGGCGTTAGTGGTGCATGCCTTTAATCCCAGCACTCGGGAGGCAGAGGCAGATGGATTCTCATTACTGACAGTGTATAAGTCACACAAAGCCTTTGGTTTAAAGCCAAGAGCCAAGTAGCATTAGGAATAGAGTTGACAGAAAATGAAAAGCTCCAGGCTAACATTACACATGTTCCTCTAAAGCAGAAGTGTAAAGCACTAGGTAACTTACCACTTACCTAATTGCATAGGGGTCTTCTATTTTCGGTTGGTCAAACAAACGAGCAGTACATACTTTAACACTGTCAACCACTTTACTCTTAAAAAGCTGAATGTCTTTTTCATACCTGTGTTAAAAGTTTTAAAAATTTAACAATTTATCTTAAATAATAATAGTAAATAATAAGGTTACCCTAAGTAACAAAGTAAAAATCACATACAGTACTGCAGCCTCTGGGTTTAGGGGGCTTGTTGTGTCGATCTTGTAGAAGACTCTCCTTGCGTACATTAAGACCTGCCATATATGATTATGGTTCCGCCTGCCGGGAAACAAAGCATGAGTACTTCAGTTTGTTCCTGATGACTATGCTACTATAAGAAACAGTGATACACTAACCTCCACTTTGCAAATGCTCTCTTCACATCCAGTTCCCCTGTGGTGGAATCAACTAGCGGGTGAAAGACGGGAATGTCAAACAGCAGGCGCTGTATGTAGAGAGAAACACTTCAGTGGGAGTGATGTCATGCTGCTAGTCAGATCGGGCCCAACAAGGGCCCTTAACTACAACTACTTTCCTGTAAACAGCTTTGCAGCAGGGGAGATTCTGCTCTCCTCCTGCAGCATGGCCATCCCAGGCATACGGTGGATGGTGCAGCACAGCCCCCAACCTCACCCACACCCCGGAGCAGAGAAAAGAATGAAGCTGCAGGCAGGGTAGCCTGACCCCAGGTAACAAAGCACTAAACCCCATTGGCTGTGGGAGACATACATCTAAGGAAACTGATTTCATTACAGCATCTAAGGTCAGGAGAAGAATCAAGAAATCTGTAAGCCTTGATTTCCCCTCAGTGACTAAAGCTCTGCATGGGCTCAACTGTAGTCCCACTTACTGGACAGTCGCCATCTGGATAGTTATCAGGAATATACACTGTAAACTTGAACACGCCATCCTGATATAGCCCGTGTCGTATGAATATTACGCCAAACCACACTGCAGGAGAACATAAATATGCTAAAGTCCCATCTGTGTCCAAAGATTCCCACACACCAAAAATGAAGGTTGAGTCCACATCTTACCCAATGCAGAGCGGTATGATGGCTGTATATAGACGCCTGGTAGCTTCTGCTTCACTACCAAGGTACTAAAACAAGAGCAGTGTAATAATTAGCTTGTACAGATGCCAATGACACATAAAAGTCAAACCATCCCACATTTTCTGAGACAAGTAGCAGCTGGTGCTCAAACTATACAAATGGAGTCATTCTAGTCTTGCACCTGAGTCTCCTAGATCACCCACTACCTACCACCCTCTTACTTCCAAACCAGCCCAAAGAAACCATAGCCAATACTCAGTCCCAGACTTAGAAAGCCGAACAGGGACAAAGAATAGATTTACTCTCAGAAACAGAAACAGATAATTTTGAACATTAAAACTGAGGTACATGAGCTGATGTGGTAGCCCCCACATTTAGTCCCAGCACTGGATGGGGGGGCAGAAAGTGGTGTATCTTTATGAGTCAAGTTTCTACATAGTAAGACCCTGTCTCAAAAAAAAGAAAAAAAAAAAACCCACAAGAAAACTGAGGTAAATGTTAAAACTATTGCTTTTATCATTATAAATTAGAGTTCACACATTAAAAAATTATTTTTTACTAACAAAAATGTGGTATATTCCTTTTGGGCTTCAGTATACTGTATTTGTGTTACTAAATGAAAAGCAAACTGCTTTCAATTGCAATCACAGGTACTAAATAAGAGTCTAAAGTTGTCATCACTTAACTGTCCTTTTGAGTCAGCCTCACTGGGTCAGTGGGAGGGCAGGCTTTTGGGTGTTGCTTGTGAAGGCAGGCATCATTTTGAGCTCCCAAACATCCTGAACTCAGACTCTTTGGGCCTTCTAGAGAAGGTGTATGATGACACAAGGCAAGACACAATGCAGAAAGATGCTACTGTTTTCTGGGACCCAGTTACACACTGGCAACCATTTTGCTTGGTTCCCTGAAGCTGCAGCTATGAGCTGTGATCTGACACTGAAAAGGACAGTGTTGGCCAAAGCACTCTAAACACAGTTACCTGCAAATCCTGAAATGTACAGAGAAATTGTTTAGGTGCTTTTTCTAAGTTTTTTTTTTTTTTTTTTTTTTTTTTTTTTTTTTTTTTTTT